GGGTGTAAAGGTGATTGAAGGACAAGGGAGGCAGAACCAGACATTTGCCTGTTTCTTCTTCTGTGGTGTTAGATGTTACAAAGTCTGTCCTGATCACTGCTGCCCTCTAACAGCTGCTTTGTTCACCTGTACTACTACTATCTTACACTGTATTTTATCATCTATTACATTTATTATTTATCCCCTTTCCTATAAATTTCTGGACAGAGGGACCCTATTTCAACAATGTCTACAGCCCTGTCTTCATCTTGTGAAGCCCTATTAGCCTTAATTCTTACCCCATTTGTAATACACAGTAGGTAATCAACATATAAACCTCTTCTTCCCTTTTCATCTCTGCCACAATCTACTTCTCAGCCAAACTCTTTCTAGCTACCTTGCACACCACCATTACATATGGTACTCTTTCCCTAGTTCCCGTTGCTACTACTGAGTATGGACAGCCTCTAAAGATTCGGTATTACCTATAGAGTTTAGAATTGCCATCAAGGCTCTCTCATATCTTAGTCCATTCTTACTAATATTAAAGGGCTAACATACACTACTTCCTTGATACATGTGTATTTTTGAGCCAGTTCCCCCATATATATGATCTCAATCTTCATTCAATATAGACAATATAGACTGTCTTTTTTTTTTTTTGGTTTTGGTTTTTCGAGACAGGGTTTCTCTGTGTAGCTATGGAGCCTATCCTGGCACTCGCTCTGGAGACCAGGCTGGCCTCCAACTCACAAAGATCCTCCTGCCTCTGCCTCCCGAGTGCTGGGATTAAAGGCGTACGCCACCAATGCCTGGCTTCAATATAGACTGTCTTAATTTAGAGTTTTTTGCATAATGACTGCTCTCTGCCCTACCCCACTGTATTTTCTATATACTAACATAGATATGTTTCCTGAGTTTCTACTGCATGTCAGAAAGCCCACTAGTAAGTATAACTAACGCAACCGTGAATAATGTAATGCTGTTTAGGCTTACCCGGACTTCTAATTATGCAATGTATCCAACAGACATCTGTTAAGTTGATAACTATGCTGTTTACTCACATTATTTTCTCTTTGTTCACACCTTCTTCTGTGAGCACTCATTTGTTGATAACTACCAAATGAAACTAGGAGGTACCCTTCTAGTTTTGTTTTTTAAATCAGTGTAAATATATGTGTCTAAATGTGGGCTTGTACAATGAGTCAATGTCTGAGGAGGTCAGAAGAGGGTGCTGAAACCCATGGAACTGGAGTTAAAGGCAATTGTAAACTGCCTGACACGGTGCTGGGATTAAAGCAGTGTCCTCTGGAAGGGCAGTGCGTGCTCTTAACTGCTGAGCCATCTCTCCAGCCCCAGCCCTTCTGGGTTTTTTGATCTTCTCAAAACTAGATAGGAAACTTCCTTTCCTAGTCTTCATAAAAAATAGCTTACAAAGTTAATAAGCATAAAAGGAACACTTTGAGAGAATATTATTACCAGCAGGAAAATTCAGGAATAGAATACAGACTGAAGCGCTTGCCAATTCTTCCAGAATCACTGTCAAACAGTGGTATCAATATTTTGTTTGAAGAGTTAAAAATATCATATGCATAATAAATTATAACTAAAAGTTCTCAAATAAAATGTTATCTCTCACAGTTTGAATTAACTGTTTCTCTGCTACCTCTATGTCTATCAGCATGAATAATTTAAAACTTGAATGAAATTCCTGAGCTGAAAGTACATTGGGGGAAAAAAAGATTTTTAAAAATTTCAGTATTAAAAACACAAAGTGAAGATATACATAATACAATTTAATTTTTGTTATGAAATCTGTTCAACTTTCATTTCTTAATTAATAAAACATTGACAGGTTACTGGTCAGATAATTTGTCCTTATAAATTAAATTGCCTGAATATGCATAAAATTATGCTCTGTTTAAATAAAAAGCTAACTCAGAAAATTATATTCTTTCATGCAATAAAACAAATTTCCTTCAAGCCTTATTCTCTAGACAGAAAAAAATGATGTCATGCTTCTGATCTCCCTCAGCAGACCTAGAAACACTGCTCAGGGCAGAATCAACAACTGCATTCTCTCACACACAGCACTTTTCACCGCACCCTCTTGATCTCTCACTCCTCCAGAGAGGCCATCACACTAAACTCCCATCATTTCATGAGTAAATTTGTCAGTGACAATTGTTCTAGAAAACCAAGATCTTGGATTCAAATATTTTTACCTGTTTTAAACATGGTCTAAAGAAAATTCTATTTAAAGTGAAACGAACACACAAATAGGCACACATCTCTCTAAGAAAACAGGGGAGTGGGTAGATGAACTAGTTTGCTCATTCATGCCACCAGCAACAAAGGGGTCTTCTCTCCTATATACGCTGCAGCACGACTGCATCTCAAAGGTGTTATGTTAAGTTGAAGACGCCACACTTAAAAGATTACTTCAGTAGAATGATTCTGTTTATATGCCACAAAATGTAAAGGAGACACATATTATTCTGGGAAAGAGGCAGAGACCCACAAAAAAAGACACCCAGAAGCTAGGACTTAAAAACTGATTAGTTGAACTGGCAAATGCAAAGAAGGGACAGTAAGCTAACTATGGAGGAATAGGAAAGGTAAAATATAAAGAACTAAAAAACCCTAAGCCCACGTGTGAAGAAGTTGTCAAGAAAATGCCTTATAGATGAACAGATAAGAATTAAGAATCAACCATTTGAAAAAAACCAGACACCATTACAACAGTGAAAAACCATGAGAATAAGGACAAAGTCATTGTGGTATATGTTTATATATGAAAAATGTCACAGTGGTTTGTATGCTTTACCAAAATAATTTTTAAAGAGGTGGGAAAAAATTAAAACCGTGACAACAGAACAAAATGTGCCATTGAGGCAGATCAAGAGTAATGCAAATTAGTCCGGCTACTTTGCAAAAACTGTCTCACAGTTCCTTAATAAAGCTAAAAATATGTTTTAACTGCACTTTGGCAATCCTGTTTCTGGTTATTTACCCAAGTGAAATGAAAACTCAAATTTACAGAAAAACCTGTACATATAAATGTTGATAACGGTTGGGTAGTGGGTTACCATACTGGTTTGATCTTCCACACCCTCAGCAATAAAAAGGGCTGTTCTCCAAAATATGTGGCAGCAAGGATAGATGTTGAATTCATTATGTGTTGTACAGAGCAGATGCTGGCAGACCTGGAAGGCTGTGTGTTATGATTTCATCTAATGCCATTTTAGAAATGGCAAAGGACAGACAGAAGCCCCATCAATGGTTGCCAGACTGGAGATGAGAAAGGGTCTGCCAAGGGACAGGGAACTATTCTACACCCTAGTTATAGTGGTTATGACTGAACACATTTGTAAAACTTCACAGAACTCTATACTAAATACAAACACATACAATCTTAAACATAAAAGGAAAAGAAGGGTAAGGAATCCTGGCTACAAACAGGTAAAAACAAAAAATTACATAGGATCCAGTCAAACCATAAATTACTCTGTCTGGTAAAAAGTTTCATATTTTAGCCTTAAAGCATATGTTCCAAATGTTGTTAAGGAAGAGACAGAGCCAAGTCAGGTCTAAGACACCAGTAACAGTTACAAACACAGAGCACCTGGGAGGCAATTACCAATCACGTGGGGAACTCCAGAGATTAAACTACCAATACCCATCCCAACTAAGGGAGATGCGGTGGAAACAAGAAAATGATAAAGATTGGAAATCCTCAAGTTTACACCAACAGTGAAAACATTAAACCAACTAGTTTTGAGAAAAGCATTTCAAACAGGCTAAACTTAATGGCTGTGCAAACATCCCAGTAGATGTGTCTCACTGGAATTCAAGGGTAAATGAAACACAGCATTAGATTTAAGGCTCAGGGTACTTGCAGCCAAGAAAATGGAATATATAGAACGAAAGCTACAGAGAACCCTGGGAATCATGAGCAATGCCAGCATTATGGAGCTGAGTTAAGTTGAATATACAATTACAGCGTTAGGCCAATGTGTCTCAGAAATTTTCTCTTGGGAATCTCTGGTTTTATGTTTTGTTTGATCAGGTTGGCAAAAATAGGTAGTTAAAAAGCTGTCACTGTACCCAAGCTTTCCTCTTCTACTTTCAGTACTGCTTGCATATTGAGTATATTCAGTAAAGTGAAGAATAATGTATTGGACACTTCTGTTAATTAAACACAGGTAGATCAACAAGAGGTATCCAAATACAGGTCAATTTACCTGAAGAGCCCAATATTTTGATAGCTCAATGAATGACCCTACGGTAGCTTAAAGGACTCTCTAACATCCCAATGAAGTATCAGAAAATAATATGACTTTAGAGAATCAGTTCTTAACTAGAAATATGCACCAAAATGCTCCCATGAGCCTTTCTCAAAATGCCTACACCTTTACCAAAGCTCTACTTCTGAAAATTCTAATTAAGAATATTTTAGTTAAGGCCCAAACTATATTGTAATAGTCCCCCAATAGTGGTTCTGATGTACATACATCAATCCTAAGACTAAGAGCAATAAACAAAAGCTGGTTCCACAATCAACCAGAGAGACTCTTCACTCTCAAGCTTCCCCACCACATACTAAGCTTCTGGGAAGCTTTCTAATGAATAACACACAGCACCCATCCTCTGAGTATTACTAAAACTCTAAACCCCATGCATGCCCTTCACAATACCTGCAAGTCACTTACTGGTTTTGGTTAACCAAGGGTTAGATCTAACCTCTTGGCAGAATTCAGGAAAACAAGTCACTCTATTGCTTAATAAGTTTTCATAATGAAGCTGCCAGAAAGACTGTTAAAATCATGAACTCTAGCTTCAGTTCAACTAGGACTGAACCAGAACCAGAACCAATCTGCTGCACTGTAATAGTTACTCTGTTTTTCCAAAAGCAAGTTTAAGATTACAACTTTTCAATTATATCATAAACATTTATGAATCATTTCAGATATAATCATTCAGGAATAGAAATTGTCATGCCCACTAAAATTTACACTTACCCATCTCTTCCCTTACTGACAATTTTTACTTCAAAATAATAAATCCCACAGGCTGCTGGTATTGGATGTGTAGCTCGGACAGATGCTGCATCTTTGGGGGTTTTACCATGACCTGCATGTGAAACAAAAAGGAAAGGGGCAAATGAGATTTTCAGGTGAGAATCTTAAACAATTCAAGAAAGTAAGGCACTGGAATGGAACTTAATTTCAAGTGACTGAAGAGGTAATAAAGCATTTATCATCACAATGAATGCAAAACAGCCCCCTTCCCAAGACCTCTTCACACGACCACTAGTTGAATTAAGAGTTCAGAGTCTGAACACACTAAGTCTGGCAGTGGCCTTAACGAAAACCAAAATTTTAGATTTTTGTTTTTCTTTGGTTTTTCAGACAGGGTTTCTCTGTATTGTTTTGGAGGCTGTTCTGGAACTCACTTGTAGACCAGGCTGGCCTCAAACTCATAAGAAATCTGCCTGTCTCTGCCTCCTGAGTGTTGGGATTAAAGGTGTTCCCCACCACCACCCAGCTTAAAATTTAGATTTTTAAGATTTACTCTTACTTTATGTGTGTTTGCCTGCAGCTATGTATGTTGACCACCTATGTGCCTGCTGCCCAGAAGCCAGAAGTGGGATTCCTTGGAGCTAGAGCTAAGGGTGTTGTGAGGCTGCCATGTGGGTGCTGGGCATCGAATCCAAATCATCTGTAAGTACTGAGCCATCGCTCCAGTCCCCAGATTAAAGTCTCTTAAGGTAGGGTATATTTTCAAAGTATTCTGGATTGGAAAGCACATGTGAAAAGGATCTAAATCTTACCAGATCTAAATCTTTATTTAATTTGTAACAATCCTATACATTCTTCTGCAAAATTGACCATTTTTTAACTGGAGATATTTATATGAATATAAAATATATAATCCATTTTTTAAAATCAAATAGGTTAACAGGTAGATCTCTTAAAGAATTTGTAACTCTTATTTGATATATTCTTATTCTCATTTCTGAAAAAAAAAGACCAACTCACACTTATTCAGACAGTGACAGTCTGCTGATGAGTACAGCACTTTAATTTTTTTTCCTTTTTTAAGAAATGAAGTCAGCCAGGCGGTGGTGGTGTACACTTTTATTCCCAGCACTTAGGAGGCAGAAGCAGGCAGATCTCTAAGTTTGAGGTCATCCTGGTCTACACAACTAGTTCCAGGACAGCCAGGGCTACACAAAGAAATCCTGTCTTAGAAAACAAAAAACAACAACAACAACAACAACAAAAAAGAAATGAAATAACACAATGCTATTGTTAATATTATGGACCATCTGTTCATCGGTTGAGTAATGGCTTGTAAGATGTGTATGTACAAGAAGGCAAGCATGTATGTGCCATAACACTCAGGAGTCAATTCTCTCCTCCCAATGTGGGTCTAAGGACTGAACTAACCTTATCAGACTTGCACTTATTTCATGAGTGCCCCATGAAAACTTCTGATAAAGGCAAAATAAGACTCACTCGTATGACCATGGGGAGCTAGGAAGTTAGCCAGGAAAACAAAAATGGAAGCAGCAAAATGCAGCCTCCCCCTCTACAGCCCAACAATTTTAGCATATGTAGGTAACAGATTTATGCTGAGCTGAGCAGCAAGAAAAAAAACTGCACAAAAATGCAAAACAGTCACATGTATGTGTGTGTGCTTATGGTGTGCATGTATGAGAGGGTGTCCACCCGTGTGAAGGCTGGAGATTACCTCGGGTATTGTTCCGAAGGTGCCATCAACCTTGCTGAGAAAGACTCTCACTAGCTTAGAATTCAACAGAGTAGTAGGATATGCCGTTTGGCCAGGGATGTGCCCATCTCTGCATCCCTGGAGCTGGGATTACAGATGCATGCTACCACTCACTCACACAGCTGGTTTCTGAAAATGTGGGTCCTGAGGATCCAACCCAAGCCCTTATGCTTGTGTTAGTATGCACTCCCCAACCCCAATACACACAGTAACTACTTAGTAAACAGACATTTATTGAATTGTGCTACTAGCTTTTCAGTAAAATACATTCAAATAGTTAGAATACCCAATCATAAAAACTCATGCAAACTAAATGCACATTTAAAAACTAGACAGTCATAGTTGGGCCCTTTCCCTGTCAGCTGTTGGCCAGGGAGGCTTATATGGCCCCTAAAACAATGCAGGCTACTTGCCATTGCTTTTGGTTGCCTACCAGAATTAGATGGTTAAGACCCTATTGCCAAAGAGCTTTAGTTATAGTACATAAAGAAACCGACTGGAGCAGAGCTGAAAATTTCCTCCCTGAGAATTAATATCCACAGTGCCAAAAGGTGCTATGCAGGCTGCTGGAGGAGAAGCCATCAACAGTCTTACTCAAATGTGGACTCTGTGCTAGACTACTGACCTGCCTGGGAAATTATCCCTACTGGTGCAATAAATAGTAGAGGCATGACCAACCAACCACTCTTTGCTTGGATTCGGGGTCAGCTCACATCTAGTTCTATAAACCAGGCCAAAAGCCCACAGCTGAGGCCACAGGCTCTAGTGGGAAAACTACTACTATTGCTTTGCTAGATGGATCATGATGTACCTGTAAATTGGCTTCTAAACATTTATGTCTACACTCATAGACTAGAGCTGCTGTCAGCTTTGGTCAAAGAAGTTTCTTTCTACAGAGGGTGGCAGTTACTGGTCCAAATGTGGAGAATAAGTGACTGTTGAATGCTCAACTCTAAATGAGCATAGAAGAGAGGTGGGGAGGATGTTAAGAGCCAGAGGATGGAGTGGAGTATTGTGGAATGCTGTCTCCCAAGCATGGCATAGCCAATGCTTTTTTTTTTTTCCATTCATTTATTTAGCTCATAAATAAAGTCATGCACAATTATGATACACAATACACTATGTTCACAATCAGCCAATGCTTCTTCATCTCTCAGCACAAGCTCGGTCTGTCAACACTGTCTCATGTGAAGGATCCACAAGTGTTCATGGTTATTAGGTGAGGGAGTGGTGTAGCCATTGATAAGTTGTTCTTTCCCTGTAAATAACCCATCAGCCAAGCTCTGTAAGCAACCCTAATAAAACTCACTGGATTAGCGCGCGCTTGCTCATGGTGGTGATAAAAGGGAGATACAAAAAAAAACAGTAAATTTTGGCAGTGACAAAAACTTAATTTAGCAAAAATTTTATTCTAACAATGAATAATAAGGTTTCTGGTAGTAGCCACAATTTCTAGGAATAATCACAAGATAGACTTAAGAAATAATAGAAATAATATTTAACATATCTAGTACTATAGGAAAAGCACTGTTTTGGGTGAATTGTATTTAGTAACTCATTTCACATCCAAAACAACCCAACAAAGGAAATACTACGTAGCCTCATTTCACAACTAAGGAAACAAAGTGAGATAAACCATGTCCATTTTAGACATGCCAACTGAGAATCCCAAGCCAGGACATGTGCTGCAATTTAAATTCAAGAAGCATGATCTAGCAAGAGCTCTGACCCTACATGAAAGATTTAGGGACACCGAGAATTGAGGGAATCACTCCATATTTATCCTTATCTATTCTTCCTATGTCAAGGCAGAAAAAAGAGAACTAATACTGGAAGGCACACAACTTCTTACAATTATAAGTGCTTTGTACGCAATTTTCTCATTCAACATTTGTAACAGGCATTTTCTACCAACATTTTTTTAAAATGAAAGTTTTACAAAGGTGATATGATTTGTTCCTCATGTTAAATATGTGCAGATTAGCGCCAGGCGTGGTGGCGCACACCTTTAATCCCAGCACTTGGGAGGCAGAGGCAGGTGGATCTCTGTGAGTTCGAGACCAGCCTGGTCTACAAGAGCTAGTTCCAGGACAGCCTCCAAAGCCACAGAGAAACCCTGTCTCGAAAAACCAAAAAAATAAAAATAAAAGTTTCCCAGATGATGATTGAGAAACTAATTTAAAAAAAAAATGGTGCCAAGTACCACAAGAGTAACAGAACTGTGCTGTCTTCTGGGATTTTGTTTTTTACTTTTTTGTTGTTGTTTGTTTTTTGTTTTTTTAAAAATGGAGTGTGCTGGATGTCTCTACAATTTTGTTCAAAGGACTACAGAACCTGGAAAAGCTGTTGATGCTATTGATGCATAACATATTGCCATTATTGCTCTTTTTATATAAATATATACATATATAAGCTAAAAAAGTTTTCTACAATAAAAAATGCTTAAAAAAATATGTGCAGATTAAAATCCCATACATGCTTTCATTATTCAAACTATCCCTAAGTTCTTCACAATGTTAAATCTTTTAAATAGCCTGTTTATTATGCTTTCCTAAAATACAGAAAAGTTCTGTAAATGTGAAAACTAAAGCATTTGTTTCATTATTAAATAAGTCACAGGGGGCTTGGGGCGTACCTCAGTACAGAGCATTTGCCTAACATGCACAATGCTCTAGGCCAGTGGTTCTCAACCTTCCTAATGCTGGGACCCTCTAATACAGTTCCTCATGCTGTGCTGACCCCCAACTATAAAATTATTTCATTGTTTCCTTGTAACTGTAATTTTGCTACTGTTATGAAACATAACATAAATATCTAATATGCACAATATCTGATGTACAACCCCTGTGAAAGGGTCCTTCAAAAAGGAGTTGAAAACCACTGCCCTGGGCCAGTCCCCAAGTCCATTACAAACAAATAAACTACAGCAGGTGTTGAGGTGTGTCTCAGCTTGTTGAGCACATGCCTAGCATGCTCAAGGCCCTAGGATCAATTCCCAGCACAGAAAATAAAGATATAAACAAAGAAAGACATAAATACAATTTTGAAAAAAATAAAGGTTCTATCTCTTATGCATGGTAATATCAGATACACAGAGCCTACCTCTAACTATGCTCATCAGATGTAAGATTGTTATTTTTAAATTCGGTAGTTTTAAGAAGGTGGGGAGAGCCAAGCCCAGTAGAACAGGTTTGTCATCCCACTAAAGCAGGAGGATGGAAATCCAGTGTCTGCTTGGGCTAGAAAATGAATTCCAGATCAACCTGGACTACTTGGTGAGATCCTATCTCAAAACAAAATGTAAAGGGAGGCTGGTGATACAATGGCAGAGTGCTTGC